AACAATTAATCGTACAAGTTCTCAATGGGCCCAGGGCTTACCAGAGAGGAGTGTTTTAGGTCCATTAGCGTTGGGTGTTCCAAGCAATTTGCAGGCGTCCCCATCACTGGAACCACCGGGCATGACGCAAAAGAGCACACCAAGCCCCCCGCACCCCTATGATTGCTGGGGGTGCGCATGCATCAAATCACTGATCACACATCAGAGCAGGCTGTGACCCAAGTTCCTCAGCGCAGGCGCAGTGACTTTGTTGGTAACAGAGACAGGTCAATTGGGCAGAAAGAAGTGACAGGCACTAAGAGGACGCGGTGTTGCAGTGTTCCTTGGTTTGTGTGGCAGGGTGTTGATGAGGTGTGCTTTCTGTTTTGCAGATCCAGACAGTACACAAACAACAATACCCTTAATCAGTAGAACAAACAAGAAAGGAAAGTATCGTGCGTCCGCAAAAGTTGGTTGTGCAGGTGACACCACAAAGCAACATGCTGAGCAAGCTGCTGGTCTCCCAAACTGCCAGAGCTGAAGACAAGTGACACGGAGCCACCGATATGTGGAAGAGCAGCCCAGGGAACCAACAAGACGGTATCCAAGCCAAACCAGGATGGACGCGTCACAAAAAAGAACCCGAGTGACGACCCGTTGGATCTGCAAAAGCACCGAGCGTCCAAGGAGGATGTTCACAACTCTATAGAAGGTAAGTAACAAAAAAACGTCATGGTGAACCGATGCTGATCTAGATTCATGTATGCTCAGAACCGGAAGATCCACCAGCAGCAGAGGGTGATGCAGCAGAGGAGCTGCCGAATGGGGATCTCAATCACTTAGCCATGGAGGACGCGCTGGTGGCTGACCCATCCGGGTCATTTGCTGGCCTGTCAGATGCCGTTGCTGGGTCGTCAGGGGCGGTGGCCGGCCCGTCAGGGTTCATAACAGTGCGTCCCCTTGTAGAACTGGATGCAAGTGCAGCTGTGTTGGCAAACTTGCCACCCAAAGTGTGGCGCAAGCTCATGGAGTTGCTCCTGGTGGCAGCATCCATGGAGGGCGTTGTCGCCCAACACCAAGCACTGGAAGCACGTGTCACGCAGGAGACGGTGGCAGCAGAGGCCGCACAAGCGCAACTCTTGGCAGTGCAATCCTCAGTGCACAGGATTACCTCTGCAGTCCAACTGTCAGAAGCTGTCGGCTGTTGATTGCAGGTCATGGAGGCTGAGATCCAAGACCGGGTGCATGAGCTCACAGTGCGCATGGCAGCACAATTCCGCGTGAGTACCCAGGCCGCTTTGATGGCAGTGATGCAGGCCTTCCCTCGTGGAGGGCGGATCTTTTTGGACACCAAGGACATTACAGTGATGCAAGAAGGTATGTATGGTATGTCTCTCCCAATGCTGCTCTGATCCAAAAACTCACTTCTCCTCAAAACTTTGTGGGCTGCAGATGCTGTTATTGTGTTGCTGTATATTTTTGAATGCGATTTTGTGAAAATGCACCCAAGAAAAGTGAAGTGTGGAAATTGTGAAAAGTGGCCTTAATACTCAGCTCTAGAAAATCATGTACATTCTCCAAACAGTTATTTCCTCTAAAATAATTTTGCAAGTAAAGTAAAATTCAAGAGGCCACAATATTGTTTGATATGGTGTGATGTATGATTTGAACTGTGTATTTTGTATTTTATATTTACTGTTTTTGTTTTTTTAGGCAGAAATGGTATTGGTGATTGATTGATTGATTGATTGGTTTGGTTGATGATCATTAATGATTGTTGATTGAATTGGTTTCCTATACATGCATTTTGTGCTTGTGAGTAGAAGAAATTAGTGCCAGGTTTGTGGCAATAAAATATTGCACAGTATTTACCTGACCTGTTATCCTTTTACTGAAACCACAAATTACTGCCTGCTAACTTGAATTTCGAATTGGGACGGGATTTACAACCCTGAAAAGTTCCACCAATTGCCAAGAAAGAAATTTGGAGGCCAGTGGCCAGGGAACATCAGTCCACAGCTCAAAAATAAATATCTTGGAAGCTACCAACACCTTGACAGGTTGACATACCTTTGCGTCTTCACACCCCATCAAAGTAGATTGCAAATCTAACGCTTTCACCTATATGTTTTCTACTTTTTTGATCAGGGTTAAAAATTTTCATTTCTTTGATAAGTGGAAAACTTTACTCATCATCAAAGAACTTCTACTTCTCACTGTTTATTTTTTTAAATGTGGAACAATTTTAGAACCTCAAAACATCATTGTCAGGATTTTTTATTACCATCACACCATCCGTAATAATGCCAGAGGTCCTGTTCAACCGAGACAACCCTGGTACATTTTATACTGCATTTATTCAAGTACCACAAGCATATGCGCAAGACATTCACCCTAACTTTCAACAAACATTTTCAAGAAATGTTAAATCACTGAGTAAGATGCCCAGCCAATTTTCAGTGACTGGAAAAGTACCATTTAAAAAAATGATAATGTACCCTATAATCAAAATATAGATACAAATTCAAGCAGAATTCAATAAATTTCAATTTGTTTTGAATTTTAAAATTTCATGTTACATTCCCTCAATATATTAAAGTGTGACTAATCGCAGCACCTAAACTTTGAATAATTCTTGAAAATGGTATCCCCGCCTATGAAACACACTCGCCATTTTTTCCTCTGAATTTCGAGAAAAAAAAGGTGTACCTGTTACTTGACTAAATACGGTATTCATTACAGGATTATTCTAGGATGAAGAATACAACAGAAACTCACAATCCGTTGAGCAATCGGGGCACATTTGCGTGAAGCCAAAGCAAGCACAGACAAGGGTTTATCGGCCACACATTTAGCTGTTGGATCCATTCCGGCCTGAATCAGCACCTTGGCTGCCCAAAGCGTCCCATGAATCACTGCCACGTGTCCGGGTCGCAAACCGGTGGCAGGACTGAGCAGATCAGGATCAGCTCCACACTCCAAAAGCACCTCGACTACCTATGAGGAAACACCAGCGGAAATTCAACATTCAGATAAAATTTCACGTCGTGCACTTTTAATTCATCGCGGTATAATTCAATAAATTTCCTATAAAGGTCTACATTTTGAAAGACTACGTTTCAGAAGTTTAGATGAGCATTTATAATTGGACTCTGTACAATGTTTTCTACGATATTCTCTGCACAGTGCATTACTGTATAACGATTTTGTTTTGTTTTACGGTAGGATTTCTCTATACCCAGCACATTATACAGCTTTTTTCCAACTAAGTTCTTTTACAAATAATTTTTCTGGTCTCTTGCAGTTTGTTGAGATTTTCAATTCCAAATGGGACAAGAGGGAACAACAGTTTAGACAATGCAAGCATTCTCAAGTTTTTGAAGGACAGAAGGGGACAATTAGTTCAGAGAATAAGGCAATAAGAGTCCACCTGGATTTGGTTATAATGGGGACTTTTGGACCAATTTTAACAGAAAAACGTGTTATAATGGAAATAATCGGAAATATGTCATGTTCAATCCATATTGAACATAAAATAGGATTAATATGATGTATGTTTAATTCTGCGTCAATTCACATCTAAATTCAAATTTGGGTAACCGAATGCTTGAAATCTTGCGGTTTTAGAGTCTCTAAAAATGGGGGTGTGTATCCTACAGCCGTCTTCTCAGCAGAGATGCAATTTCATGAACATTTTTAACCAAAAAACCCACGTGCGTGTCTTAAAAGTATACTGTACATGGTTTCGTGATACTCGAGTAAAAGGGGATCTAAATGAAAAGTTCCTGTATACGGTCAACTTCCAATGCTGCAGTACGCCGTAAAAATATGAAAATAATGAATTTGGATACGAATTGCAGACCTTTTGCATAAGGTCCTGAGGAAAATTCTCATCCGGCTTTTGGCAGAAGATCGACAAAATAGTCTCGCCGTTGGACAGAGGTGTATTCAGACTCGCACTGAGTCGCTGGAATTCATTTTCTGTCGTGACATCTGCAACTTCCCGCTTGAAGTAGGTTCTTGTTAGGATTCTCCCGACCAACTCTTTCTCGCCTTTCTGAAAAACGAACATTTTATAATCATAATTGACACCATTACTGAGACAAGAAACAATTTACTAGCCTCAATCAAACTCCGCAATAAATCTGGATGTGGAATCAGCAATTCCTCCACCGAAGTCACCATCATGCTTGCGGAGTGCGCCTGCGTGCACCAACAATGAGGAATATACAATATCAGCTTTCAACAAGAATAAATCCGCATTTCACGCAATGATCACCACGCGCTCGGCAGAAATGAATAAAGGTGCCAAACGGAAAAGAAACATTTAAAAGGAAGGACTTTCCTCTGGAAAAATCTACTGCAACCTTCAACGGAGCTCATCTGTTCCAGCACGAGTGACTCTTTCATACGATCATACCTGAACTCAATTCCGAGGAATATGAGATCGGTATTTCTCCAGATCCATCAGAAGGTAGATTACTCCCAGCTCCAAAAACACTTCGGGTCGAAAGATCCATGCGGAATCTGCAAACGACATCGAATTTCCACAAAACGGTACACATTTTGAAAATTCCATTCGACCAGAGAATACACCGATGTGGCGTCGTCAGTAAATTATCCGTCAAATCCGTCTCGAAATTTTTGAGTGAAAATTGGATAATTGCACGCGAGAGAAATTTAAGATGTTCTTGGGTTGCTATATATATGCAGAATGCCATGTTGTGAAAAACGTTTATAATTGTTGGTGGTTAGAAGGTATTATTTTTAATTAATTTCCCGGCAGAATCAGATGACTATTTCAATTGATGGTCTCTTATTTTTATGAATTATTGGAGATTTGTGAATTTTGTCAAAACTTAAGTTCACCGTCGGAGTTTTATTTTCGAGAATAATCCAAATCGTTTTGTTTTCGAGAATATCCGTCTTCGGATATTGTCATCAATTGATGGGAGTCTTTACCATCCTCATCAGGCGTTGGTTTGTCTGCACGTGAACGCCTGAAGCAACGCATAGAATCGATGCCGGAAGAAGAAATACAAATCTTGCTGCATTTGTACGGAACTGACGTAAAACGGAGAAGTTCGTGTATTGTATATTGGTGCTTTTTTTAAATTGCGCTCTACAATATTGAACAATCGAACGTCCGTAAATGCCGAATAAGTTTGAGGAATGAGCGAAAAAGAGTTCGAGTTTCGGAGGTTTTGAGTTGGGGAAGGAAGAATTTTGGTTGTGAGTATTGCGAGAAATTGTAATTGGTCATATTCTGGGCCTTACAATTGCTTCTTAACGAATCTAGGACAAATCAAGACAGATACTTTTTGAGACAGGAACTTTTTGAGACAAGGAAAATCCGAGACTGAAACTTTTTGAGACATGAACAAATTGAGGCAAATAAATTTTGAGAATTAGAGACAGTTTGAGACAAAATGTCAACCGCATTTCTCTCCATTATCTTATGTTTAAGGTGTAAAAATGAACAAATATTGCACTGGTGAAAGTCTATGATCCCAGGGTGTTTTTCTTTTTTTTCCATCATCGCTGTAAAGTTACTTTTTCTCATCAAGGAAAAACTCAAATTTTTGAACCAACCTGAGTCGATTCCTCCCTTCAATTAGATAGTTTCTGTCTCAAAATGTCCTTATCTCAAATTGTCCTTGTCTCAAATTGTCCCTGTATCTAATAGGCCCATCTCAAATTTTCTGTTCCCATTTGTCCAGTCTTGAATGGTCTGTCTTGATTTGTCCATATCCCCTTCTGAACGAAGTTGACAGGATGCTGAACCTGGAGGAAAAGGTAGTTTTTCTCAAGTGGTCTTTCATATTTTCTTTCAAAACAAATCACAATTCTTTTCAAGTTGCATTTCTCTTTCCTGTGTCGATAAAAATAATACCCAAAAGGTCTCCAGAAACCTTGAGTTTTGGGGGAGAAAACCATTGAGTCAAGGCGGTTTTTCCTGTATTTTTTCTAGGGAAATTCAGAAAAGGACTTAATTTAAAATAAATTTATACAGAGGGAGGTACGAGTTATGAAGGTTAAACTGTATCTTCATTCTCTAGTACGGTATTATTTTTTTTCATAGAGCGTGATGACCAGGTCACATGTGATGTGGCCATTCCGGATGAACCTGTTGTCGAGAGTCATCCTAGAAATGACGATGGAGCACCCAGAGAGTCTGTTATTGATATGACTGAGGTTACAAATCCTGTCATGGAAGCTGACACGGATGCACGTATTTGTGCGAATCTCGAAGCAGCCTCTGATTCCTTGAACATGGAGGACTTGTTGGCACGATTGAATCCTGACTTTGTCCCTGAAAGTAGGTTACAAATCCTGTCATGGAAGCTGACACGGATGCACGTATTCGTGCGAATCTCGAAGCAGCCTCTGATTCCTTGAACATGGAGGACTTGTTGGCACGATTGAATCCTGACTTTGTCCCTGAAAGTAAGTGCTGACAACTGCTTAAGTTAGGTGCGTCATCTTATGCGATGTATACATAAGTGTGACGGGCAAATTTAGAACATTTGGTGTAGGTGGGTATATATTAAATAACATGAAAATGCCTTCGCAATCAAATACTGTATAAATATTGGGTAGCCGTTTTTTTTTTATATTTTATAAGTATAATACCCGTGATGGAAATTTTCGAAAAATTTTAGAATTTTTCCGAGATTTTCTTCTTTGAAAAGAAAACGTTCGTTCTACGGAACGATCGTAGAAGAACCAATTGCAATGGGTTCCACGAGATGCGGATTCAAATTACTGTAATTACTTCTCGGGTTATTGGATGTTCAAATTCCTATTCAAATTCAATATACGGCGTTTATTCAATTATTCCTTTTTTTTCAGGAAATGAAAATGTGGAACGAATCGATTGTCTAGTTCCGTACGAAATCACGGAATCTGAAGTCCCGCACGTGCCGATTGAAAGGCATTCTCACTAGTTAACCTCGAAAGTGATGCACAATATAATAGCCGAATGAGCCCAATGAAAGTTCTCAGGAGATGCGCAATGGTTTACATTCAGAATTTGTTAAGCATCGAATCATAACACCTCAATTAACCACTGGAACCATATCTGGAATGGACGTCTTACAGGGACGAATGTCACTTAGTCAACATGTAGCTGTTTTCGACAACACGAAGGCCGTACCCACGTTTACAATACAGCCGCTTCCGTCAAACCGCGAAGTCACGGAATCCACGAAAAGAAGCAGCGACCACTACTTTTCATCTCAAGGTCAAGCAAGTAATAATGAAGGCAATTCGCTCTTATCCGATTGTGAAACTCTAGAAGTCTGAAATACCTATGGAATAGTGGGCATAATAACGCTCGGCGCAATTTGTAGAATTCCTTCGAGAAACATCGATTGCACTGACTCACGCTTGTTCCGTAGCATCACCTCGTCAGGATGGAAGGATCCTGCCTGAACACGCACGAAGAAATGGATCTTTGTGTGGTTCGTCATCCTGCTGGGACATTTTTCGTGAGCAAGTCACGGAGTTCATGCTTCTCGAAGCAAAAAAGATCCACAAAAAGGTTTCGACAGTGGAAATTAAAGGAAGTGCTGCAGAAAAAGTCATGATCACAGTACGAGAGCGATTTAGGCATATCATTCGCAGTGCCGCGGAGTTTGCGGAACATCGAACGGACGTGTTCCGGAATGATTCGCAGTTCGAGCGGATTCTGAATGTACGAGCCCAGGTAGGGAATGGAGAGTAAGGGACTGCTCGAAGCGTCGCAAATTGCGTACTCTACTCCAAAAACTTAGTGATTTCTATTGATAAACACTGAGATGTCATACATGATAAGTAAGCTGATTGAATAATTACAATAAGGTTAGATCAATTCTTCAAGTGTACTGTGTATATTCACGTATTAATCCTTGCACTTTTCAATTATTGCCGCAGATTCGATTCCTGAAGGACAGCGAGGAGGCGCAAACGGAATTGAAGGCTCAAATGAAGAAACAGCGAATTATATCTGCGGCTAAGTCCAGAACCAAGAAAACTGACGAACAACGAGCCCACATGAAACAGTTGGTCAAATCAATTCAGGTAGATAAGTCTTGACAGTTTTAGAGACATCATGAGATAATTTTTAAAATATCCTATGGGTAGTATATTTTTTTTCACTCACATACTCATGTACTGAACAATTTTTGTTCAGAACAGTATGCGAATTAAGACAATCAATGGACATCACAAGGGAAACAAATTGGGGATTTAAAAAATGGCTGACTATATATATACATTATATACTGTAGGTATATATACAATACACTCAGCCTATAGTCAGCCTTGATTCAACTGATACCGCGTGAAAATGCTACATCAAATCATCAATATTTCAAAATTAATATAAATGAATGCAATGGGATACACATATCATATAATATATGGGCAGAATGATGTAAATAGGGTCATGTTGGAACACTTACATTCCACATGTCCATGAAACTGCAGAAATCTTTCATCTATACACAAACCAGGGTAATATATAAATTGTTAACATCACCAGATTACAGTATAGTGACTGTTGAAGAAGCCCATATATTCATGGTAAAATATGGGTGTTGGTCTATAATACTGTATCTACAGCAGTGAGACCCCCACATGCGGACGCCTTGACCTGCAGACAATTTGACTTAGGGACACTTTCCTTACAATTAAAAAAGACCCAACCTGCAGACACTGACACGACGACCTGCAGACATCAAAATTTTCAGAAAATCGAATTTGTCAAGCCAAATTACTAGGAACAGATATTCAGAACCATAAGATGGTAAGATCTTTGTGACAAAAATTGTTTTAAAAATTCTGTCATCATTTTCCCCTCCATTAAATTTTAAAAATTATCTCAAGCATAGAGATTCTCAAAAAAGAAGGGATTTCCTTCTCTTTTTTTGTCTAATTTCATTTTTACAGGAAATGCTAGCATCTCAATATTAAATAGTGTACAGAGGTACAGCATTTTTACTTATACATTTTTTCCAGCATGTTCCTGAGAAACTGTTGAAAAAAAATTATTCTCAAATTTTTGCTTGACAAAAAGCCAAGTTTTATAAGTTAATTTAAAGAAGGCTGGATAAAAAAGTGAAAAATTTCCTCCAAGACAAAAACATCTAGAATAATCAAGAATGTGCCAACTGTGGAACTCAAAAAAGAAATAAAAAAGATGCCACAGCTGGAGAAGAAAGGAAGAGAAGAGGACATTTGCTGAATTGATGGATCTTAAAATTCAGCAGTAGCACAGAAATTGTACATTTTGTGAATGTTTTATGTCCCCAATGCTCCAAATTTTATACATGAGTTGAAAAACACTGATTAAGTAATTTTTCATCAGTAGAATTGTTTTCCTCAATTTTAAAAAGGAATTTTGATCAATATTTCTTTCAAGAAAACACCAATTAAAAATTGTATAATGCAAGTCTATGGGAAAACTTGACTCCACTTAGGGACATTTCGACTTAGCTGGGACACTCTTGATACACCAATTATGTCCGCATCTCGGGGTCTTACTGTAGTTTGTAATCAAAACCCTTGCATGCTTCCAAGTCAGCATCCACTGACTTACAGGCGCGCATGCGGACATATTGTAGCAGCAACTCCTTATTCGTATAAAATATGCATGATGAATGCTATACAACACTGCAGTAGTTGTGCAGCACAATCATGTCATATTTTATACACAGCATATGATGTACATGTATAATTGTCTACGCGTGGAAATGTTTTTCTGGATCTTACCGCATAGTAGGCGAGAAGAAAAAAAAAATGCGCTACTGTTCCGGACCATAAATCCGCAGTATATCTGTACTTTACTAGATATAATGAAAAAAAGTTCCTGCATATTGGGATATATGTACACTGTATTAAGGTGGCAGAGCGAGACGAGC